CAATAGATTTCTTGCTTCTGCCACAAATTTCCCCAGCTGTGAGCCTTCCAACCTTTTAAGTATTCCTTTATATGTGGTTCAGTGTTCCGGGACCAGCCCCGGAGTCTGCTTGGTTGAATATTTTGTGTTGTTGCTTGCGGAGCTCCTTTACTACACGTCCACCCAATCCGCCATCTTGTTTGTTCTCTCGCTTGTGTACTTTTGAGTATTTAAAAATACAGTATCAAAAGCAATATTTGAAAACATAATTTAAGATGGTAATAAGGTGACTTGCCTTGCCCTACAGGGAGTCTGGGCAAAGAGAGAGTCAGGTTTGTAAAAATTGTAGACAAATACCAATTTATACTGAAGAGTGCCAAAAGAGAAGTTCTGAGTGTGGCGTTGCAGGATAATGCAGTAGGAGTTGTAGCACAGTCCAGGTAAAAGGGATGATGCTTGAGGTCAAAGCAAAGAAACCAGAAATGTAGAAAGTTAGTCAAATTGAAATGATTCCAAGGAGATAAAATTTAGGTGTAATTTTATGTAAACATTAATGAAGAACATACTATGTTATACTAGGTATAGACCGGTTAAATCTCCTGAGTTGGCAGCCAAAAACATCTTGATTTTTAAAATTTGAGCTTTAAGGAGCCAATTAAGGCTTTTGCACATACATAATGTGTTATTACCTTCTTTGTTGTTGTTACATGATTCATAGTGGCCCTGTATAGGGTTTCTGAGGAGTAGCTGGTGGATTTGAACCACTACCTTGTGGTTCAGATCATCCTTGCAGTATTGTGCTTATCCTACAGCACCATACCAGGATGTTCTTTAGACAGTAACAATAATTAATTGCATCGATTATAATGTTATGTGTTCTATTAGTTTTTTTTTAAAGTTTTTATTGTGAATTGAATCTAAGGTTACTGGGCAGATAATCAGTTTTTTACATTCAACAAATCATATACTTTGTTTCATTACAATGGTTATAATCCCTTCCGTGTACCATCAGTTAACAGTATTTCTCTGTAATCATTTTAGCTCGTTTTTTTTTTA